TTTCCGATTTGCACGAAATTTGACATAGGGTACTGAATTAGGTCCACAATGATGTGTGCTAAATTTCGTTAAAATCGATACAGATTTAGATATAGCTCCCATATATATTTTCGTCTGATTTAAGGCAAATGGGGCACCAATGACACTATATATCTTTCGATTTGCACGATATTTGGCATAGGGTTCTGCATTAGGTCCAGAATGATGTGCGCTAAGTTTCGAGAAAACCGGTTCAGATTTAGATATAGCTCCCATATACAGTTTCGTCCGATTTTATGAATTAGGTTTTGAATGACGTGTGTTAAGTTTCGAGAAAATCGGTTCGGTACTGGTTTTAATATTTTTTTCAAGGGTCCAAAAGAGGCGTAGATTAAATCAAATCAATTACCCAACAGAGACTTTTCGAAGACCAAAATAGGAGTGGATTTTTTTTAAACATATTTTTTTTCAGTACCCAACAGAGGTGTGAATTTTTTGAAAATATTAAACGAGGTCTGGATTTTTGAAAAAAATATTTTTTAAGGTATAGAAAAAATACGGCATTAAAAATGGTGTGGATTTTTTTAAAATATGTTTTCAATCGGGTTTCAATGGGATTTTTTACAAATTTTTTTCGGAAACATCACAATAGCGGTGAATTTTTGAAATATTTTTTCAAAGCATTATTTATTTTATTTTTTTTATTTTGTTTAAATTTTGACTATGAATTAGATTGTCCAAAAAAACAATTCAACTTCAAAGTCATTATTGCGGTCTGTGGGTGGTTTTTATCTCTCTCACTTCAATTGATAATTTTTATAAAAAAAAAATCCAACTTTCAATTACTTTCATGTGTCCAAAAATTCAAATCTATAAATCTGAAGTGTTTAAAATAAATATTGCCAAAAGAAACAACAACAATGTGTGAGTGTGTGAACAAATTTGGTCAACACGATTTTGAAAAGTGACCACAAAAAATGATTTTGTTTTTTTGAGATGTTAATCAATTTCAATGAAATATTTAAACACCTACAAATAATTGTCAATAATGAGGCCACTAATGAGCCATAGAATGGAAATAGTTGATTTTTTTATTAAATTAACAACATGATAATTTAATATAAAAAAAAAATATTTGACTTTGTGTAAATTTTCCGCTAAACTTCCTCAAATATGTATTTAGAAGAAAATAATCAAGAATAAAGTGATAAAAAGAGGAAGAGGGAGATTGTTTATATTAGAAGATTTAGAAAAATTGATGACCTACATTAAAGATCCACCCAAGGGGTGAATTTTTTAAAAATTATTTTTTTTCTCACATCAAGATTGAGAAATTAAACATATTTTTTAAAAAATTATACATTTTTAAATTCACGCCTTGGCTAAACATTGGATTTTTTTTTAAATCCGCTTCATTGATTTTTTTGGAAAATCCAAGCCTCTTAAAAATATAGGGCGCCATCTAGTATGAGGTAGCCTTAAATAATATCTTCAAATCTTTCCATATTCACCATTTACACCACACATTTATACGCGAGTGAATTCAATAACCACTTCCATTTAAATATTTAGTGTAGACACCAACCATAGCTATTATGCAGAATGAATAATGTAATAACGACCAGTCTCTGGCTTTGATGTGGTGAATATTTTCACCCCGCTATTCTGACCACAAACTAGCCCAAAATTCTCAAGACTACATTCGACATCATGTTTAAATCGTCCGAGCAAAACTACAGCTAAATGCGATATGTCAATATGTAGGAATAAGGTCCTCAAGTCGCTCAAGGAAACTCTGTTCAACTTTTGGAAAGCGGTAGATAGTTTTGTGGGCAGTTATACCGTGAAGTATTTAGATTTCAGAATGAACACTCTAAGAACGACAACAGGGTGAATTCTAAAGACAACGGTTTACCATCTGCATGAGGAGACGGAAATCCTTCCCCTACGTCAGCATTACAATATGCTTTCGTTGTAGTACATTCTTGGTTTATTCACATGGCGAATACAACATCCCCAGCCCAGGCGTGCCAGAAAGGATATATAGAGAGATAGAGAGAACCCAACGATAAAAATGGGAGTCTCTAAACTCGATTTCCTTTAGAAGACTCAATTTCTTTTTAGAGTCCCCAAGGGGTCTTGAATTGTCTATGGAATCACCAAGAGGTCTACCATCACCTATTGAATACCTAGAGGATTTCCTTTCCTCATTGGTACCTGGAGAACTTATTCACTATGTAAATGATCTAGAGGTGCTATATTTTCGTTATAAGACCTAGATGGTGTCCTATAGACCTAAAAGTCTTCTATCGCTGCAAAAAGAATCTGATATCATAATTATCCATAGAATACTCGGAAGTATTATTTTTTTAGAATATCAAGTATATTGTCTATGGAAGATCTATAGGAAGGTTACAGTCTATAAAAAAAAAACAATTAGAACCTTTCATAAGAAGACCTAACGATTGATCGTTTTTGTCAACCGAAGACCTGGAAGTCAGGGACCAACACAAGGCGACTATTGCCTAAAGAAGACCTAGAGGCATTTTTAGATGTCTAATGACATTCGACAGCATATAGATTACATTGTTGTCCTCCTTTTCCTTTGGAAGACTTATACGTTTTTAATGCCTATAGAAACTCCTAGGGGTCTTAAAAAGTCTATAGGAGGTTAAAATGTCTACTATTATCCCTATAGGATCTAGAGGGATTACTTTGTTTATCTACACCTGGATGGATTATTTAAACTTTTTTTATTTTTTATAAGGCCTAGAGGTTCTCCATATAGCTAAAAATCTTCTATTGATGACAAATGAATCAGAGATCTTCTATTACCCAAAGACGGCCCAGAGGTATTATTTTTATAAAAGTTTCAACAGACTATTGTATTACTATAGTTCATAGAAGATTTAGAATATTTCATATAAATACCTAATGATCGGTCGTATTTGTCAGCCAAAGACCTGGAAGTCAAGCAACAACCCAATGCAACTATTACCCAAAGAAGACCAAAAGGGTTTCTTTTGGTTATAGATATCTAATGACATTCGACAGCATATAGATTACGTTGAGATTCTCAATTTTCTTTGGAAAACGTATAGGTCGGTCTTTTATTGCCTATAGAAACCTCCAGTTATCTTAAATAGTCTATAGGAAACTAAGAGGTCTACCATTATCTATATAGGACTTATAGAGTTTCCTTTGTTTATCTACACCTAAATTATTCTGCATATATAAATAATCTAGAGGTTTTATACTCTTCATAAGGTCTAGAGGTCCTCTATTGACCTAAAAGCCTTCTATTGATGACAAAAGAATGAGAGCAGTCTTTGGGTAATAGTATAGTATATTTCATAGATAGACCTAAAGATCGAGGACCAACATAAGCCAACTTTTGCCCAAGGAAGACCAAGAAGTCTTCACTTGTTCATAGATATAGACCAAAAGATATACAACATAATATTGATAGCCTTGGGGTGGTACTCCATTTCCTGTAGAAGGCTTAGATGTCTTCTATTGTCTATGAAAGTCCCGGGGGTCTTAGATTGTCTATAGGAGACCAAGAGGACTACCATTATCATTAGATGATATATAGGTTTTCCTTTTGTTTATCGATAATTGCAGGGCGTATTCAGTGTATGGATAACCTACAGGTCATTCATAGTTATATAGAGAACATAGAGATCATCTATGGGTATAAACAGAACCTAGAGGTCATTTATAGGTATATAGATGACCTGGAGGTCGTCTATAGGTATATAGAGTACATAAAGGTCCTCTTCTATAGACTTAAAAGTTTTCTATCGCTGGCAGAGATAGAATACTCAGAGATATTATGTTTATAGAAGACCACATAGATTATTGTCTGAAGCCGCCCAAGGAGTCGGATATAGGCTACAGAATATCTAGACGATTTCTATTGTCTATGGAAAGGGAGAATCTACAAGTATCCGTTTGTCTACAGAGGACATAGAGATTTTTTATTACCTAGAGGTCTTACAAAGGGTTTTCAATGAACTTGTTCAATAAAAGGAACGATCGGTACTAGGTTCAGTTCCTTTGTTCATATAGTTCTATTTGCTTCAGCCGTTCCACGTTTGCTCTCATTCATCTAATCCCTTTTGATGTAATCGTGCATTTAGATCTTCCCGTTCATTGGCTGATCGAATTAACAATGAACGATTGAACTAAAAGGAACTATGGAACTAAGTGAATGGACTTTATTTTCTTTTATTAGGGAGAACCGAAAAAAGATTGAATTGCTGGAGAAACGGGATTGCCCAAATCTTGCAACCGATTCTGGCTTCGTCTATAGGAAATTTGATGACAGATGAGTAGGTTTAGGTGGTCACTTGATAGATATATATATATATATATATTCTCAGGGCCTATAGAAACATATCTTCAGGACCAGAGGAGAAAATTTGCTTAACAAAATATTAAAGGAGTTGGGAGCAAACATCCTTACTTTTAATTTTTTTTTTTAAGAATTATCGGGCATTGAAGAAAGGATCCATCATCCGATGCCAAAAAATAGTCGTTTACATATTTTATGGAAAATAAATAAATGAGGATGTTTTCTATAGAAGACCATCCCCCGAAGAGGGGAAATATAGGGAAACTTTTTTCTAATAGAAAATAATTCTCCGAATCGGAAGACAATTATTTTCTATAGATAATAAACCCCTGGACCTGAAGACAGTTTTTTCTTCTAAACAATGTCTAAAGACCTGGGGACTATTTTTTCTATAGGAAAAATGCTCAGGATCAGAGGACAATTGTTTAAATAAAAATACGCACTACGCACTCAGAATCTGAAGAATTTTTTAATAAAAAAACCTCTTGAATCTTTTGGCAATCCTACAGACATTATTAAAAGGACTTAGGATATAGGAAAAAAATGCTCAGGATCAGATGAGCATTTTTTATAAAAAAAATATTGAGTCTGATTTTGTTATAAAAAACCTCCTATCCTCCGGACATAAGGGGTCAAGAAAAGTGTATTTCAAAATAAAACTTACCGCTTTACGTTTATCGGCCTCCGAGGCTGCTGAATTGGAACGATGTCTAAACAGATCCATTACTTTGGTCATTGGTGAACGGGAAACATCGGCACGTCGGACAGCCGTAACTGTGTGATAATACTATACACAAAACAACAACAAAAACATCAATGAAATATTTATACCAAAATAGAAAATTGCATTCAAAAAAACTCACTTGAGCATCACTGCCCTGATGCGGATGTGCCGAACCATCTTTGTACTTATTCTTTACCGAGGTGGTGCCATCGGCAGAGGTTATCGTTACGGCGGGATGTTGTTTATGATGATGGCTGCCACCACCAATAAGGCCGGAATTTTGTAAAGCTACTTTCATGGAATTCATAACGCCGCCGCCGCCAGTACCGCTACCGGCACCACCACCCGACGAGTAGGTACTACTGGCACTGCCCATTTCATTGCCCGTGGCTGCTGCTGCAGCCGACAAGGGGTCAAGTAGAAGTTTTTGTTTTTTAGCATCGGATTTTGCACGCGGACGAAAAACATCAAAAATGGTAGGGCGACGATTTGGACTAGCTATGCCATGGACTGTGGATTGATTCAACACGGGGGAATCTTCACCGCTACGCCTTCGCTCCAAAGAGCCGGAACGTGGGGTGACAGCCATACGTTCTGTGCTGCGGGATATTTTCTCAGCATTACGATTGAGTTTTTCTAATTTGGCGGCTTCACGCTCGAGGCGGCGTGCTGTTTCACGTTCGATTTTGCGGGCTTCTTTTTCACGGCGGCTGGCTTCTTTTTCTTGGCGTCTGTGGAGAGGGGAGAAGGTGGGTTTTATAAAATTTCAATTTTAAAGAATTTTCGGTTTGGTTCTTACCTTGCTTCTTCTTTCATCTTTTTGGAGGCTTTACGTGCCGCTTTGGCATTTGGTTCGGCCGGCGCACTGGAGGGCCTTGATGACGGCAGCCGGGCATCTTGTTCCTGCAATGAATAGTTGAACATTAGTGGAAGAACTAAATAATATTGTGGGGTCGGCCACAAAAAGAAAACAAGGAAATAAATGGAACAAGTTTTGCTGCTTGATAGGATTATGGCATCTGCCATAATTATGATGGCCTGTTGCGGAATTATGAGTGTCAATTATTAATCAATTAATTAATTTACCCTGAAAACGCTTTACGAGGTTACACTGAAATTGTTATTTTTTTATTATTTGTAAAAAGACTCCATGCTGCGTATTGTCGTCATCACGCTGTAGATTTTTTCCTAAGGACATTTTTTTCTATAAAAATAAACCCCTCAGAACCCGAGGACACGTTTTTTGATATTGAAAAAAAAATCAGAGAACCTGAGGTCAAAATTTTTATATGAATTTTACAAGGCATTAAGAGTTGTGGATTTATTGAAAATATGTTTTCAAGCGTTCAAAGAGCCGTGGATTTATTAAAAATATTTTTTTTTTAAGGGTCCAAAATAGGTCGGGATTTATTAAAAATATTTTTCAAGCTCCCAAAAGAGGCGAAGCTTTTTCTGTACTAATAAAAAAGTAAAGTGATTGACTGACTGACGATTCACAAACGCCCAGACGAAATGGCTGAAGCTAGATTCTTGAAATTTTAGGTGAGGGTCACTCTTGGTCCAAAGGTTTCAGATAAGGCTGGGTTTTTGGAAATTCGTACTAGAACGGTACGAAAAGTACTAATGTGATACCATTATGTACTTATGTGATACCATTTGTATTTGGCGAACCAGTAGAGCTAGAACTCTGAAATTTGGATTGAGGGTCACTGATGGAGTGTAGAATGGATGTAGCAAAGGCCGTTTTGGAAATTCGAACTATAAGTATCCGAAAAGTACTGAAATGTACTAAATTTGGTACAATTTCGTGAATGGATAGAGCTAAAAACTTTAAAATTGGAATGCAAATTAAGATCGAGAATTAGGGTCGATATGGGAAGAGTTTGGAACATGTGTACTCATGTGTACGAAAAGTACTATATGGTACTATATTTGGTACAAATTTAATTTGGAGATACAAATCGAGCTGGAATCCTGAAAATTTAAAGTAACATTACCGTCGGAGTGTACGATTGGGATATGTACGTAGTTTTGGAAAATGTTCACTTATGTGTACGAAAAGTACTAAATCGTACTATAATTGGTACAACTTGAATTTGGGTGAACCAATAGAGCTGGAACAATGTAATTTGGTGTTAGGATCATTGTAGAGATGTAGGATTAGGGTCAGGATTCAGTTTAAAAAATTAATTACTTATGGGTACTAAATGGCACTAAATTTGGTACAATTTGAATTTTAGGTGAACCAATAGAGCTAGAATCATGAAATTTGGAGTCAGAGGTGTAAGATTAAAATATGTAGGAAGTTTTAGAAATTTGTACTAATGTGTACTAAATTTGGTACAATTTAAATTGTGGGTCAATCGATTAAGTTGGAATCCTGAAACATGGATTTAGGATCACTGTGGGGGTGTTGGTTTGGGTTAAGTAGGATGTTTTGGAAATAAGTACTACTGTGTACTAAATTTGGTACAATTTGAATTGTGGGTCAACCGATTAAGTTGGAATCCTTACACTTGGATTTAGAATCACTTTCGGGGTGTAGGGTTGGTGTAGGAAGGAGGTTTTGGAAATAAGTACTACTGTGTACTAAATTTGGTACAATTTGAATTGTGGGTGAAGCGATAGAGTTGGAATCCCGAAATTTTGATTTAGGATCACTGTGGAGGTGTAGGATTGGGGTAGGAAGGAGGTTTTGGAAATTGGTACAACTGTGTACTAAATTTGGTACAATTTGAATTGCGGGTGCATTAACTGAGTTGGAATCCTGAAACTTGGATATAGGATGACTGTGGGAGTGTAGATTTGGGGTAGGAAGGAGGTTTTGGAAATAAGTACTACTGTGTACTAAATTTGGTACAATTTGAATTGTGGGTGAACCTATGGAGTTAGAATCCTGAAACTTGGATTTACAATCACTGTGGGAGTGTAGGATTTGGGAGTGTTTGGATTTGGATTGGGGTATTTAGGAAGTTTTGGAAATTGCTACAACTATGTACTAAATTTGGTACAATTTGAATTGCGGGTGCACCAACAGAGTTGGAATCCTGAAACTTGGATTTAGGATCACTGTGGGAGTGTAGGCTTGAGATAAGAAGGAGGTTTTGGAAATAAGTACTACTGTGTACTAAATTTGGTACAATTTGAATTGTGGGTGAACCAATAGAGTTGGAACCCTGAAACTTGCATTTAGGATGACTGTGTGAGTGTAGATTTGGGGTAGGAAGGAGGTTTTGGAAATAAGTACTACTGTGTACTAAATTTGGTACAATTTGAATTGTGGGTGAACCAATAGAGTTGGAATCCTGAAACTTGGATTTAGGATCACTGTGGGAGTGTAGGTTTGGGGTAGGAAGGAGGTTTTGGAAATTCCTACTATATCTGAAGTTTTGTAATTAGTACTACTGTGTACTAAACTTGGTACAAATTAAATTGTGGGTGAACCTATATAGTTAGAATCCTGAAACTTGGATTTAGGATCACTGTGGGAGTGTAGGTTTGAGATAAGAAGGAGGTTTTGGAAATAAGTACTACTGTGTACTAAATTTGGTACAATTTGAATTGTGGGTGAACCGATAGAGTTAGAATCCTGAAACTTGGATTTAGGATCACTGTGGGGGTGTAGATTTGGGGTAGGAAGGAGGTTTTAAACAATAAGTACTACTGTGTACTAATTTTGGTACAATTTGAATTTTGGGTGAACCTATAGAGTTGGAATCCTGAAACTTGGATTTAGAATCACTGTCGGGGTGTAGGATTGGGGTATGTAGGAAGTTTTGGAAATTCAAACTACTGTGTACTAAATTTGGTACAAATTAAATTGTGGGTGATCCAATAGAGTTGGAATCCTGAAACTTGGATTTAGGATCACGTACTACTGTGTACTAAATTTGGTACAAATTAAATTGTGGGTGAACCAATAGAGTTGGAATCCTGGAATTTGGATTTAGGATCACCGTGGGAGTGTAGGTTTAGGGAAGGAGGTTTTGGAAATAAGTACTACTGTGTACTAAATTTGGTACAATTTGAATTGTGGGTGAACCAATAGAGTTGGAATCCTGAAATTTGGATTTAGGATCACCGTGGGAGTGTAGGTTTGGGGTATATAGGAAGTTTTGTAATTGCTACTACTGTGTACAAATTTTGGTACAAATTGAATTGTGGGTGAACCTATGGAGTTGGAATCCTGAATCTTTGATTTACAATCACTGTCGGGGTGTAGGATTGGGGTATGTCGGCAGTTTTTTTTTTTTTTTTTGGGAATAATGTGTGCTAAATGGAAAATCTAGATTTGGGTGAAGCTTTAAAGCTCGAATCAAGAAAATTGGTAGTAAATGGTACTCAAATTTAATTTATGGTCGATATTAATGTGTGGATTGTTTTGTCTGGCATATGCAGTTTGTTTTGAAAATAAAATAATATGTTAATACATTCGCTAACGAAGTCGCGGGCATATGCTAGTTAAAAATATTTTTTCAATGCCCATCAGAGGCGTGGATTTATAAAAATATTTTTTTTCAAAAATTCTAAGATTTTTTGTCCACATTTCATATTGCTACCCACTGTCTCCGATTAATTCTAATGTGTATGCAGGCATGCCTGATCGCCTGCCTGTTTGCCTGCTTTCTTTTTCTTTTCTTTTTTGCTTCGAAAATTTGTTAAAACTGCTTCTTTTGTTGTTCTTCTTTTGTTTAATATTCCAATTTGATTTTGTTTTTTTTGTTGTTCTTTCGTTTCTATTCAACCGATACGATGTTTTGTATACATTTTAAATAAAATTTATTTGCAAAACAAATACAAACAGAACAAAAATGACGTCAATACTTCTTTTGGGGAATTTCTTCGTTTGCAATATATGTTGTGAGAGGTTGATTGAGGTTCGTTCGTTTTGCCGGATTCCAGACCTACCCCTCTCAGTCGGTTGTTTGTTCGCAAACACATATGGTGAGGTACCAAAAAAAAAAAAAATATTTTCAGTATCCAAAGAAAAAAAATATGCATATCGTTTGGTAGATGTTTGCCTTCGTCTGTTAATTGTTAAAAAATTTAAATAATTGTAAAAAATAAATATTAAAGAAAAAATAATTACAATTTTTAGGCACGTCCATATTGCAGGCAGAAATAATTATCGCTGTTGTGTTATTATGCCGCCTTATTATTTGTTTCGGTTTTCGTTTTTTTTTTTTTTTATTTGAATTTTTTGTAGCTGTTCTCATTGAAACTCGTTTGGAATAATTTATTGAACAAAAAACAGAAAAAAAACGAAATTTGCAATATTGTCACCGTGTTGTTGGTCGGTCTTTGGTGTGTGGGTTGTTTGAAATGTGTATTTTAAAGTATTTTTTTTTTTTGTGGATATCTGTCTCATCACGTGTTCCTACAACAACACGAATGTTTTAGTTGTGTTGTTATTTTTTGTTTATATGACAAACTTGTCAACGACGTTGCAATGACCTTAAAATATATTTATTTATTTTTTTTTTAATTTGCAAAAAAAAGGTAACTGCAAATATTTACCCCGAATGGTATGGAATATTCCACACATTTTTATGAGGACACACTTTACGTCCTTACGTCCTGGTGTATAAACACAAATAAATTCAAAATAATTTTCTTATACAACATTTTCAAAATATTTTCAACAAAAATTTTTTTTTTTTCTAAAAGACAACAATTTTATACGAAAATTTTTCCTGTAGAAGAAATTTTCCTCATGTTCTGAAGACATATATTATCGATAGCGCCTGTTTCAAAAAAAATCTTCTGGATCTTCTGGCTTAAAGTTCTCAGATCCTCAGAAATTATTTTTTGTGAGAAAAATTGTCCTCAGGATCTGAAGATTTTTTCCATTGCCCTCAAGTATCTTCGGGTCCTAAAATTTGTTTTTTCTGTACACCCTGAGCATTTTCTTTTTGGATCCTACTTTTCAGATGATTTCTTCTTTTGAAGAAAAATTTTTGTTAATTACGTTTTTGTCCTAAAGTCTCTTTAGGTACTGAGATTTTTATTCTGCAATATGAATGTTTTTTTCTGAGTTCCTATTTTCAAATATAGTTTTTAGAAGAAACAAAATTTCCGCAGGTCCCTATGATTTTTTCTACGGGAATTTTTCTTTTGAAAATTCAGCATAATACATTTTTGAATAAAGAAAACCAAAAATTTTGTTGAATTTTCAAATTTTTTTAACAACATTTTTTTTGTTGGACTTTCAAAATTTTTTATAAAATTTTCAACAACAAATGTTTGTTGTATTTTCAGCAAAGACAAAAAAAATTGAAAATTCAAAATGTTATTGAAGTTTTTAATAACATTTTCTGTTGAGTTTTCAACAACAGAATAATTCACTTTTGTTTCAACAATAAATGTTGTTGAGAATTCAAAAAAATAAATGTTGAAAATTCAACAAAAAAATCTTGTTGAATTTTTAACATTTTTTTCTTTTTGCTGAAAATACAACAAGCATTTTTTGTTGAAAATTCTATAAAAAATTTTGAAAATTCAACAAAAAATGTTGAAAATTCAACAAAAATTTTTTTTGAATTTTTTTCTTAATATTTTCTGTTGAATTTTCAACAACAGAATAATTCATTTTTGTTTCAACAATAAATGTTGTTGAGAATTCAAAAATATTAATGTTGTAAATTCAACAAAAAATCTCAAAAAATCAAAATGTTTTTCAAATGTTTTTGAGAATTCAAAAAAAAAAAAAAAAAAAAAAAAATGTTGAAAATTAAACAAATTTTGAATTTTCAACTTTTTTTTTTTGTTTTTGCTGAAATGCAAAAAAAAATTATTGTTGAAAGTTCTATAAAAAATTTTGTCAAAAGGCGCCAAAAAGGTTTGATAAAAATTCAACAAAAAATCTAATTAAAATTCGACAAACATTTTTTATTGAAAATTCTACAAAAATGTTGTTTAAAATTCAACAAAACAATCAACAGCAAAATTACGCCGAAAATACAACACAAATTTTTGTTGGCTATTTGTCTATTCCATTTTATTTATTCTAAAAAAATTGTTGAACAATCAACAAAAAATGTAAAAAAATCAACAAACAACAACAATGCTGTTGAAAATTCAAAATAACAACTTTGTTGACAAATTAACTAAAAAATTGTTGAAAATTTAAAAAAAATTGTTGCAATTAAACAAGATAATCTGTTGAAAATTCAACATAAAACATTGTTGAATATAGAAAACAATCAACAAAAAATTTGCTGAAAATTTAAGAAAAATAATTGTTGATTATTTTGCTATAAACACAAATTTTTTACAAAAAAAAATTGTTTGAAAATTCAAAAAACAAATATTTTTGAGGAAAATTCAACACAAAAAAAAATTGCTGAAAATTCTACAAAATATTTTATTACTTTGACCCCATTTTTGAATTCGAAAAAAAAAATCGTTGAAAATTTAACTAAACAAACTTTAGTTTTAAAATTCAACAGCAAATTTTGAAAACCCAACAAAAAAATATTGTTGAAAATTCAACAAAAAAAAAATTAAAATTTTGTCTATAAAATTTTCATTTTTTTACAGACAACAAAAACATTTGTGAATTCAACAAAAACTTCTGATGAAAATTCAACTCAAAACATTTGTTGAAAATTCAACAAACAATTTTTTATTACTTTGACCCATGTTTTAATTCGAAAAAAAAAAATCAGCAAACAATTGTTGAAAATTCAACAAAAAAAAAAATATTATGGTTCATTATTTTGACCCATTGTTGAATTTTGAAAAATTGAAAAAAAACACATCCAACTTACATCTTCCGATTGTACGGCGGTGGTTCGGCCACTTTCGGCAGCACTATCATCGGTATAGTACTGTTTCTTTGGCAACGATGATTCCGAACTCAACGAACTGCCCGGTGATTTGATGGGGAATTGTGGAGTTTTTGGGGTGGTCGTACTTGCTGTTCCGGCCGCCGGTCTCTTTATCCAAACATCATCTAAGTGGGGGAAATCACGATATTTCGCCGATGAAGGTGAATATTCGGATAGCGATGTGGATCTGGGTTTTGTCGTTGTGGTAGTTCCCGCAGTTGTTGCGGATTTTGTGGTTGTCGGAGTTGTTGTTGTGCTGCTGCTACCTATGCTATTATTATCACAGTTGTTGTTGCTGCTGCTGTTGACATTGAGGGAAGAAGTACTTTCGGCGGATGACCTGATCTCAACCAGGCTACTATCAAAGAATTCTTTGGAAAGATGGGGTTGAGCAGTACCCGGAACTTTGTTGCTACCATAACGCTGTGAGAACAGACCCTGCACTGAGCTGTAGCCACCAAAACTGCTGGGAAAGCTAATGGTCTGGGAATTTGTTGAGGCATTCAGGTGTTTCAGTTTATCGGCCTCGCTACGTAGCTCCGGGGTCTCTTGGGCTTTGGTAACGGTAAATTTACCCTTGATTATCAAAGTGGAGGGTGAGGGTGGTTCATTGTTGGTGGGTGGGGAGGTGGTTGTTTCTTCCACCTTCAAGTGGGGTTTGGGGCTAAGCGGAGAGTTGGCTGCGGTTGCTTGCGTTGAGCTGGGGGTCTTGAGCGTGGTGGAAGTGGATTTGGCCGATTCCAGTAGATTTATCAAGGCTGGTGGGAGAATGGTGGGTGGTATGGGAGGTGGTGGTGGCGGTGAGTTAAGCTCCGGTGCCACAGTCACTGTCTTTATGTCCTCCACATTGTTCGTATTAATGCTATCGATTTTATGCATGAATTGTTGGCGCAACCTCTCCAGGTCCTTGAATTTTTCGGCGTTGACTTTGTCACTGACGGGAGGGGGAGGTGGTGGGGTTGGTTTGTTGTTGCGTTCAAATTTCGGTGGTTGATCGGAATTTTGGGGTTGAGGCGACTTTTCACCATCATCTTCATCCTCTTCCTTACACTGGGAGAGGCGTCGACGTTCCATAAAGGGCATCAAGTAGGGACGCATTTGAAAGATATCAGGGGTATAATATTTCCCAGAGAGGGATAAGGCCGCTTGGATGTCACCTTCCAATTGAGGGCCATCTTCATTGTCCTCCCCCTCATCCTCCGAGGAGGATTCCGAACCACTGCTGTGATATTCAAATGATTTCATGCGCGGAAAGGTGTGCAGCACCCCACTACCCAGACCCGTGGAACAGGTCATATTGTCACTATTCGATGGATGGAGGATGTTGCTGTTGGTGGCTTCTATTACACCCACATCACCACTTAGTGAAGGTTCCGAATCCGATTCATAACCATCATTAGCATTGTGTTCCAAATCAGCCATGGACGCATCAAAGGCATGCTCGAAGACATCATCCCCAATGGAGGGCAGATGGAAATGGGCCATCGCTGTCGGCAATGGTGAGGTACCATTTTGTCGCAAACATCCTCCGCTACCCATTTCCGAGGACATATCCGAAAAGGAGCTTTTACTTTGGGATTTTTCCACGGCACTATCCTGTTTCTCCTCGTGCGTCATTGAGGACAAGGAGGCGGAATTTGAGAGGGGAGGACATTTTGAATTTGTCAGATTCTCTTCGATATATTCACAATTTGTGGCCATTGGTTATGTTGTTTGGGGGAGAATTGTGGGCCAGTGAGAGAATGAGAGAGAGGAAATTTACGAGATTGTTTGAAAACGATGACTTCAGTGTTGCTGCTACTGCTTTATTTGGTCTATCAGAATTCTCATTGACGTTGTACAAAAACAAACACTTAAGGCTGTTACAATTCTAAGGGTACTCAGGACACACACACGTACTACAAAACACGATAATATTTTCTTTTGAACGACATTTGTTTTGGGGTGATTTTTGTCTCGGTTGGAATTTTTAATAAAAATTCTTACAAGGGTCTTGAGATTTTTTTTATTGACAAAACAACTTAAAACGTAATTTTTTTCAATTGGTTTCACTTCAAACACTTTTTAGAGATTTTTTTTTTTTATTTTTGGTTTTTATCTGGAAAAAATAACAAGGGGAAAAATAAAAACAAATTAAATAAAAACTTGACAAAATAAATAAAACACTTGGATCCGAGCGAGATATTGGGTTGACATGGTTCTTTCAAAGAAAAAAATTAATGAATTTAAAAAAACAATATTTTTTCAAAGGCCCACTAAGGTGTGGATTTAAAAAAAAAAATTATTTTCAAAGATTGGACTTCGGAAGAATAATTGTTGAAGGTTCTAAAAGAGGATTTTGATCAGGGTTCATCATTGCGTATACGTGTTGACAATACGTATACGTCACCGTACTCATAAATGCGTATAAGTGTTGACATGGCGTATACGCCACCGTACTTCAGATCATTAAGAGTGAATAGTTAATTTTTTGGTTTTTGTTTTATTTTAATCGAGGTGTAGATCTAAGGCGTGAATTAAAAAAAAAAAAAAAAAAAATTTCAAAGTCCACCTAAGGCGTGGATTTTTTAAAAAATATTTTTTCAAAGTCCACCTAAGGCGTGGATTTTTAAAAAAATATTTTTTCAAGGTCCACCTAAGGCGTGGATTTTTTTAAAAATATTTTTTCAAAGTCCACCTAAGGCGTGGATTTTTTTAAAAATATTTTTTCAAAGTCCACCTAAGGCGTGGATTTTTTAAAAAATATTTTTTCAAAGTCCACCTAAGGCGTGGATTTTTTTAAAAAATATTTTTTCAAAGTCCACCTAAGGCGTGGATTTTTTAAAAAAATATTTTTTCAAAGTCCACCTAAGGAGTGGATTTTTTTAAAAAATATTTTTTCAAAGTCCACCTAAGGAGTGGATTTTTTAAAAAATATTTTTTTCAAAGTCCACCTAAGGCGTGGCTTTTTTAAAAAAATATTTATTCAAAGGCGTGGATTTTTTAAAAAATATATATTTAAAAAAATATTTTTTTCAAAGTCGTGGATTTTTTAAAAAAAATATTTTTTCAAAGTCCACCTAAGGCGTGGATGTTTTAAAAAATATTTTTTCAAAGTCCACCTCCTAAGGCGTGGATGTTTTAAAAAATATGTTTTCAAAGTCCACCTAAGGCGTGGATTTTTTAAAAAATATTTTTTTCAAAGTCCACCTAAGGCGTGGATGTTTTAAAAAATATATTTTTTTCAAAGTCCACCTAAGACATGGATTTAAAAAAAATATTTTTTTTAAGGCCACACCTTGGCCGACCCTTGGAAAAATAATTTTTTTTTAAGGATTTAAAAGAGGATTTTGATCAGGGTTCATCATTGCGTATGAGTGTTGACAATACGTATACGTCACCGTACTCATAATGACGTATAAGTGTTGACAAGGCGTATACGCCACTGTACTTCAGATCATTAAGAGTGAATATTTATAAAAAAATTGTTTTCTTTTAATCGAGGTGTGGATTTATAAAAAAAATATATTTTTTCGAGTAGCCAACAATACGATATTTATTGAATCAAATTTTTTTTTTCAAATACAAAATATTTAAATATTTTTTTTTCAATATCCCACAAATGTCATCTTATATAACAAACAATAAATAAATGATCATCCCGCTACTCTTAGCCAGCCACAGGCGGTATTCGGTTTAATTTCCACTTCTCGATGATGATGATGATACATTCGATTTTTCGTTCGGCTCAATTGACGATTAATTGCCTGTAATTATAGCTAGCGGACTTATAGCATCAACAATCGATCCATGGATGGATGACGGGCGGAATCAATGGTTGGCATTGAAAAAGTGTGCGGCAAGTAGGCAGGCAGGCCGGCAGACTGGCTGGCTGGCAGTCAGGCACCCCCATATAAATGTAATTTTCCATTAAATCACAAAAAAGTCGATACGAATGAAAATACGAATGTCATGTTTTAATAATTTCTTTATCGATTGTATTATATACATATGTATGTATATTTTTAATTGCTTCTTATGGCAACAACAACGATAATAACAAAAACAATAACAAATAAATCAACAAATCATTTAAAAAATAATTATTCAAAATTAAAAAAAATATATATTTTTATATATAGAAACATAATATTTCTAGGTGGATGTTTCAATAGACCCACCAAATATGGGTGTGGTGTATAGTGATCTACTTAAAGCCAGGGTATGAGAATATTATAGAATTAAAGAGGACAGTTCATAAAGAAGCGGAACTATCTATCCCTTCTTAAAGCTGAGTTTCAAGGGCTGGAAATAAAAAAATGGTAATAATGATGATGATCTTTCCAAATAAAAATCCCCGACCTTGGCTTTAAAATTTGAAAATGGAGGGGTGAACCAATGCGTGGTTTTGTAAAAAATATTTTTTCAAAGGCCACGCCTTGGCCAACCTTTAGAAAAATATTTTTTAAAGGATTTAAAAGAGGATTTTGATCACTTTCATCATTTCGTATAAGTGTTGACAATTCGTATACGTCACCGTACTCATAAATGCGTATAAGTGTTGACAAGGCGTATACGCCACCATATTTCAGATCATTAAGAGCGAATAGTTAACATTTTTTTGTTTTATTTTAATCGAGGTGTAGATCTAAGGCGTGAATTTTTAAAAAATATAGTTTTGAAAATGGAGGGGTGAATCCCCCTATTTTTTTTTTTTTTTTTTTTTTTTTTGTACTTTTGCAAATGTCCGCAAATTACCGAAATGACTAAGCCATGCGAGACAGCTGAGTCTATATTGCTTTTGAAAAAATCCGACACGAAGTCATTAATCTTCCGCTATTAGTTTTCTAACACATTATGATAATTCCAAATAATTTGAAAGGTAATTATTTCATGACTGTATCTGCAGCGAAACAGAAAATTCCCATTAGGCACACCTTTGGTTGTTCGGAAATGGATGAGTTAATTTTGTTTAAATCATTCAGGAAATTTAAAGAAAAAATATAAAAAGATAGTCCATGGCAGATCATTATAAGACCCTTGAACTAAAGTAGGGGGTAGATTATCAGAAAAGTTTGAAAAAAAAAATATTTGACAAGGTTTCAGCAGATGCAGGACCTTGCAGGACCTCTATACTTTCCATAGAATACTTTATTTCAGGCCAATAAATTTTCAGACGCCTTTTGGATCTTCGATAAAGAGAAGTAATTTTTATAAAGCCTTCCTATGGGCTACCTAAGGCGTGGATTTTTAAAAAGAATTTTTTAAAGTCGGTAAAGCCTTAGTTTTTTAAAAAATATTTTTGAAAGGCCACCTAAGGCGTGGATTTTTAAAAAAAGTGTTTTTTCAAATGCCAGCCAAGCCGTGGTATTTAAACAATATTTTTCCAAAGGCCTACCAAGACTTGGATATTAAGAAACATTTTTTTCAAAGACCAGCCAAGGCGTGGATATTTAAAAATAATTTTTTCAAAGGCCAGCCAAGCCGTGATATTTAAAGGCCTCCTAAAGGCCTGTCAAGGCTTGGTTATTAAGAAACATTTTTCAAAGGTCAGCCAAGATGTGGATATTAAAAAAAAATATTTTCTCAAAGGCCACCTAAGCCGTGGTTTTGAAACATATTTTTCAAAGATAAGTAAATTTTATAAAGCTGTCTTATGAGACTTTGTTACCTTCTAGATATGTCATTCCGGATCAATACATTTTGGGCCTCCTTGGAAAAAATCTAGAAGGCTGATCGATTACGAAAGAGTTTCAAAAGGTTTTATAATAACTAAATCTTCTCTAGGAGGTGTTGTGATTACGAAAGTTTTGGGATATTTTTTGTCAAATTCCTATATATCCCAGCAAGGGTCTACAGAGTATTTTTGGAAGGTCTTTTGAAATAAAAAAAAACTTGTAAAGATTGAGAATAAAAAAATCCATAGAAGACATATTGAAAGCCTTCTTAATGTGCGATATATTTCAAGGCTTGGATACATAAGTAAAAGGTTTTGGCTATAGCTCACTGGAGGATTTGCTATATATTAACAATTTTTTTACAAAGGCCTTTATTATACAGAAAAAAATCTAATAGATCTTCTGCTAAAGGCTCGAAAAATGGATTTTGTGCGGGGTTCATCATTGCGTATAAGTGTTGACAATACGTATACGCTACCGTAATCGTAAATATCGGAAATATGATTGAAATAGTCAAGCACACCTTTGGCTGGTTGGAAATGGATGAGTTAATTTTTTGAAATCATATTTAAAAAAAATAAAAACATATAAAAATAGTACGTAACAGATCATTATAAGACCCTTGAACTAAAGCAGAGGGCAGATAATCAGAAAATAGAATAGAATACTTGATTCCAGGCCAATAATTTTTCAGAAGCTCTTCTATGGGAGTTTGCTACCTTCTAGAAGAAGGAGAACCCTGTAAATTACTTTGCCTATAGAAGACCTCATTCCAGGCCAACACCTTTTCGGTGAAATCATTTTTGGTTTCCTTGGAAAATAAGCTAGAAGCGTATAAGTGTTAACAACACGTATACGCTACCGTAATCGTAAAAGAAATAAGAATGAAACAGTCAAGCGCACCTTCGGCTGCTTGGAAATGGATGAGTTATTGAAATCATTTTGGAAATAAAACAAAAAACATATAAAAAATAGTACGTAACAGATCATTATAAGACCATTGAACTAAAGCAAAGGGCAGATAATCAGAAAAGTTAAAAAAAT